TCTCTCTCTCTCTCTCTCTCTCTCCCTCTCTCTCTCTCTCTCTCTCTCTCATTATGTTCACGCCACTTTAGCTTGTTTTAATCTTGCAAGTGGTCTGAGGGTGCCACAGGTAGGTCTTACTTCTTTTCTGTTCCTTCGTTTTCCTTGTCGGTCTTGCTCTTTCCAAGCACTAAGTAACGATTATTGTGTCAATGTGATTATTTTCTGCTCAAATCAAATTCCACCTTGAATACTAGGCTTAAACTGTGTTGTCCACATGAGTTTGAGCAATGTAAAAAAAGGATATTGTTTCTTTTTGTCTAGTTGTTCCTCTTCTAGGAGTTGTGACACGTTTGAAAGTTGTGCTGTATGTGTACTGTGGGATAAGGCTGAGTTACGGGGCTCTCCCTCTAACTCTGATATGACAGACTGGCTCCACCCTTGAAGTACTAGCCTCTAATTTTCCATTTTTAACCTTTTCGCATCATGCGGCTTTCACGGTGCGCATTCCCTAAGAACGCCATTATTTTATGTGCGCTATTCCCTGGAAACACACAATTTTTGGGTATTTTCAAAGATATGAATCTCAGTTGTTTTAAATCATAGACGTTTGTATTTGGTGTCAAAGTAAAGTACATTTCTTTGTCGACACAGGCATAATTTTTGGACCATATTCCCTTTCCTTGACTAAAGTTGTCAACAGTACAAAAGAGCTTTTGAGGCTGAAAAAATGAAGTTTTCAAAACAAATTTTACACCCCGATATACACACTAAACAGCTCAATGGTTTTTCTTCAAAGAGTTCAGACAAGCGTAATCCATGATAGATATAATTCAACGAAAATTATCAGAAAATTCAACCGAACAAATGAAAAAGGTGGTGTTGTGAGCAGATGTATGAACAGCTCAATATACGCAAGCATTGGTTGAGTCTGCTGCTTCTTTCGGATCAGAGTTGAGTTGTACACCTCAAAACAGCCAGGGTAGAGTGTAACTTTGCAGTTTGAGCCCTAGTGCAGTGTAATTTTCTTTTGGTATTTTCTGTTCACTGCTGACATTCCAGCTCTGCACACCTTTCCTGTGCACGTTTCCTACTGCCGCCTAAAGGTTCTGTATCCGTGGTGTTGTTGTCAGCTTACTGACTCTCTTTGAGAACATGCCCCGCTTTTCTCTCGCACACTTCACTTAGGTTGAATCCTTCATTGGTGGGTTTATCTGAACTTGGATCAGGAACGGCCTTTGAAATACACCATGGTTTCGTCAATATAAAGTCCTGTTATGGTTTTCACAAGTTTTAAAAAAACTTTCTTTTGTAGATTCCGTATAAATTAAATGGCTTCATTTTTTTAATGTCATGGTAAAGCTCTCCGTAGTGCACTGGTGCTATGGTGTTTGACATATGAAACGAGAAGAGAGAACTGTCAAGGACCCTTTTCTTTACACGTACATCATTATTCAGCAGAAAGATGAGTGCAAGCCTGGGCTTCCAGGTCAGTTGTCGCAGAGAGTCAGTATCTTGAGTATACCCTGATGTGAACGAAAATAGATAACAAAGAATCATTCCATTTCTACAAGATTATCTAGTTTCTTGGTTTTGCTACGTAAACGACTTGCCAAGGTTTGCAGATCTTTGCCATTGGTCCCTTTCCCATCTTATTGTTTTATTTTAGTTTTCAAAAAGTTTATCAACTCCTCTGTAATGACCAGTCAGTAAATATCGGATGCTAACGGTGGTTTGGGTTGTGAGACTTCGATTTCACTGAATACCAGTAAACTGAGAAATATGGGGAAAGTTGTTTGTGTTTCGAGCCCACAGAATTTTATCTTCAAATATTCTTGTTAATTTTTTTTGTCTTTCTATACTCTCCTTTACAGCTCTACAGTATATCCGTCGCCATATCGTAATTTCAACAACCGGTCAGTCCTATGGTCCATCCTCTCATCATCACTGTCTATGCATTCTAATCTCACGTATACTTGATTCACTACTGGTTGCTTCTTTGGCAAAATTTAACGGTATGCTTTATTGTCAACCGGCATAGTAACCTCATCCTTTCAACATCATCTTCATCATCGGATCTTTCTATGTAGATAGGACCTGTGACTCCTTTGAGAGTGAGTCTTCTCAACGTCGGTCTAAGCGCCACAACTTTCAGCGAATGTAAAACATCTCGGGATTGCTCTCAAACATGACCTCAGAAATTCGCCTGTAAATTGAAATGTGTTCAAGCAGCTCAAATTCTGACAGCAAGAAACAGTTCCAAAATGGTATCTGACTACTTTTTTTGAAAGTTTGAAAGTGAAAAGTGAAAAGGCAAACTTTTTGTTGCATGCACAAGTACCTGAATCCAGGGTGGAGCGTGGCGTCATGAAAGGTTGTGAAATAGCGTGCATCAAAGAGGAGCGCTAAGCACCGAAGTGGTGTGAAAAACTTGGAGGGCCGTGCGGCGAAAAGGTTAAAATACATTCGCCAGAGAAGGTTTTAGAATTTTTACTCTTGAATGAAATGAACTATCTTCAGTGTCATGGTGCAAACAAAATGCTTTTCTTGGCTAGTTTGTCTATTGTTATAAGAATGGGATTATTACGAGGCAGAATGTGAATTTAAAGGTCACAGTTTCCTCAGAGTGGAGTACTCTTTTGTTGTCACTCTCTTGTGAACCTCCTGCTATTTTTGCAAAATAAGATGTGTCTTGGTAAGCCAAGTTAATCTTGTTTGGCAATTTCAGAGGGTTGTAAATTACTATCTGTGGTGATGGGAGTCTTATTTATGGCCTCTGTCTCGACGCATTCTGGTTTTGTTGTCTGCCCACTTGTGGAAGTGACGGAAGTTTGTGGAAGAGGGGGGGGGGGGGGGGGGGGGTTCAATGAAGAAATATGTTCCTAACACATTTTTCCCCCCCCCTTTGCAAAACAGGGCAGAGTCAAACCCCAACATCTCTGGGAAAGATTCTACCTCCTCCACTACCTCGTTTGGCTCAGAGGGCAGTTCAGACACATCGGAGAACTCGGACGGTGAGGGCGGTGTACAGCTCAGTGACTCCTCAACTGACGACAGCTCTGAGGATGAGGGACGCTACATTTCTTTCAAGGTTGTTTGTTGTTGTTTTTATTGTTTGTTGTTCTAATGGTGCTGGTGTTCAATCCACAGTGCCAGCTCAGGAGATGGGGATCACTCACGGACTTGCACTGTTAGTATTGTGGACTGAAGAGAATCAACACATCCCCAGAGAAACACACAACTGCTGCTGCTACCAGAGTGTGATATTAAGAAGAATAATACAAATATGATTGATAATATTAATGATGTTAATAGTGATAATAATAATGGTGATGATATTATTATTGTTATTATTATTTTTATTATTATTATTATTATTATTATTATTATTATTATTATATCAATGGCTTTATAAGCTGTGCTGGTTGGCCCATTTTTATGCAACTCTTGCTTTAAACTGCTGGCCCCCTGAGGTTCTAAATGCTTTTTTAAAATTTAAACTTGCTTTAATAAAACGCCCAGACATAAGTAACAACAATAAAAAGAGAAAGATTACGATTACAGAACAATTTATTTCGTTGTGGTGAGTCTCTAACACGCAGGGATCTTTCTCTTTGTACCCAGGATCTATTTCCTAGTATGGCTACAGTTTACAACACTGAGATAACAGAACCCAGCGCCCGGGACCAGAAGATGTACAAAAGGTAAGGTGGGAAACACTTAACCCGACCGCACAGCCAGATGATGAGGGTCAAGACATGACCTGTTCTGTTTGCTGGACAGTGTTCTTAGAACATGGATTGATTCATACATTTCTTATACTCAATCAAAGCAAAGGAAGAATGTTAAAATCTGTTCCTCAAAATATGGTGCTGAGTAATTTTGAGCTTACCTAATAAGAAAAGAAATATGTCTGTGCTTTTTCACTGTTGTAAGGACTTTGACAAAGTGAGCGTTTTTGTTCCAGTGAGGGTACACTAAGTCACCAGCACTAATATCGATGCACTCATAAGTGCTCCATGAGACCTAAATATTAGTGTCATTGAGGCAGTGCAAGTTTCTCCCACATGTACCCCATAATTGCCATAAGTTGACAAAACGCCTTTTAAAAAAATTTTGGTGCTAAATTGTTTTTATTTGCTAAATTGAAAGCCTAATCATTTACCCTACTTGTATAAAAAAATCAAAATGAAACTGTGACTAGTTTTTGCATAAATTAGAAATCAAATTTTGTCATAATAAAAAAAATGAGCTACTCTCTTTAGCTCTGCTTTGTAGGGTGAGTAAAAAACATTGGAGTTATTCTTTTTTCTAGTGACTGCGGCTGACATCATGGTACCCTTTGCCTCCTCTCAACAGGTATGTGGACATTGGCCGTGGTAAGAAAGAGGAAGAAGTGCCGGCGGATGGGCAGAGTACCGAGTCTCTTAACCGCCCCCTCTCATCCAGTGGGAATGGAGACAGCAAAGAGTCCATGGTGGGCCTGTCGAAACGATTGCCGCCGGGCGTCGACATGTAAGTGTGTTGTTTTGTCATAGTGGGCCTGTCTAAAAGGGTGTTTTAGGATATTGACATGTGGGTCATCCCTCAGTGTGTTGTTTTGTTATAGAGGGCCTGTCTAAAAGGGTATGTCCAGATATTGGACATGTGAGTGTGTCATTTTGTCATAGTGGGTCTGTTTAAAAGGGTATGTCCAGGTATTGACATGTGAGTCATCCCCTAGTGTGTTGTTCTGTGATAGTGGGCCTGTCAAAGTGGTTTCCTCCAAGTATTGAGATGTAGGTAAACGTGAAGTATGACATCCCATGTCTTTGAGCATCATGTTGATCACTGCTTGCTATTTTCCCAGTTCTTGTAAGAAAAAACTGCTAACTGTAACCCCCATGGTGACCATGGAAGTTGCTTTCAAGGTCAAACAGTTTGAAGGGGAAGGGGGGTTATATTTCTTACTTTCACAGGCGTGTAAGTTATCCCTGTGTGTGTTGTTCTGTCATAATGGGCCTGTCGAATGGTTATCTTTAGTTATTGACATGTGAGTCAGCCCTACCTATGTGTGTGTTGTACTGGTTCTGTGGATCTGAGGATGTGCCGTTTGCTCAGTTGGTTTCCCCACCCAGGGCAGTGCTACTGACTGAAGTGTCTTTAAGCCATTTCCAAACGGGAGATATTAACATTTTAAAATGTTCATATGCACAGTAGAATTGTAAATGGACTGATTCATCAATGTCATGCTCATACTGTGCTGGAACAACAAGGGGGAACTGCTTCTTTTTCTTTCTTCATCCTTAATATCATCATTTTTCCTCTACTTCTTTTGCATGTCTATCACTCTCTTGTGAACTGCTATTTCCAGGTGCCTTGATAGTCGAAGCAGACTTTGTTCTGTAGAGGCTAGAGAGGTGAGCAGAGTAAGCCTGATTCCCTGTTTGGACTTCTCTGTTGACATCCACCCCTTGGTACTCACATGACCTTATGCAGTTGCGAGCTCTGTAAAACCTTCACCTTCACTTTCACTTATCCCGTAAACTGGATGTACGTCGGGGCGTTTTTGAAGATTTGGCTACCAGATTCCTCCACTCCTTCTGGTCTTCAACTTTTCTATGCTAATCCCTAATTTTATTAAGGTTCAGCATTCACCTGAATGAAATCAACTGACCAGGGATGAAAGATCACTTAAGATGAAAATATTGAGTTGATAATAGTAATAACTCCCTCTCACTTTCTCATTGAAACTTTGCTGTTCCCCCACCAGATTCCCTATTTCAGCCTTCAAACTGGACAGTTCTTTTTTCGTTGAGCCTCCGCCGGTCAGTCGCCAAGCCCGAGATATCTATGCCGCCTACGTACAACGAGGGCAGTGTGGGGCTGGGCCTGTCTCTGATGTGGACAGACACGCCTACATCAAGTACATCAACAAAAAATACTTGTAAATGTCAGCCTGGACTAAGTGCATGTATAAAAAAAGTACATGTAAGTATGTAAACAAAAAGTTCTCATATGTGTCTGCCTGCATCTGGTATACCAACAAAAGGCACTTCTAAGTGTCAGTTCAGATCTAGTTGTACATCTGTAAAAGTACATGTCTGTCGTATATATGCACCCTGTATGTTAAGGAACAGTCCACTGTATGCAATACGTCACAGGTCATCATCTTTAATCAGGGGGTTGTTTGCTTGATATAAGAGACAGATGAGTGATACAAATATTGGTAGAAAAAGAATGAAGATATAACTTCACATATTGACATTGCATAGAATAAACAATAACGATGGAAACAGCCTGAAAGTACTGAGACTGAACGAGCGCTCCGATTGAATGCGTTGGTCCTGCCCGCATGATCTGTGTTCTAAAGACAACGCACCTTGCTTTGTTTTATCAGTCACAAAGCTGGAACTTCTCATAAAAAGCCAGGCAGAACAAGCCTTAAAGATGTTAACAATGGGGAAGTACTGAGATTCCCAAGCATTATATAATTCCAATATGGTGCTGGTATTACATAACATATTGGGGTTGAAACTTTTAAAGCATTCATTTGGATTTTTTGGAGGGAACTGCACATTTTGGGGAAACTTTTGTTTCAAAACATGTCAATGGTGCTTTTTTGGAACCTTGTTAACTCAAATTTTTACAGGAGTGATAAAAAAAACCTCTCTGAAATGTGAATGTTAACACTTAGGCAATCAAATTTTGTCTTTGTTACGGGCCTTAGAAAAAATCTTTCAATGAAGAATGTGTTTTACCTAAATGCATTTTTGTGTGGTCTGAGCTACCAACAAAACATCCTTTATTTTGCGGGTTCTCTGCCTCAATGGCTGCTCTGTTGAACCTCGTTAAGGTGTAAACAAAGTTACAAAAGAGCACACAGGGCTTTAGTTTGCTCTGGACTACCCTCGCTATCTTTAATTTGTTTTTAAATGCACATGTTTAACATCCTCTGGGTTGTTTTATGGCCGGCTTGTGAGTTACTACATGTTTTGTGTGGGGGAAAATTTCTTTGTCCCTCAACGCATCAAGTGAAATCGAAAAAGGAAATGAACAATGGAGGAAGATAGCAAGGTTCACCGACCCGCAGGGCTCAACCGATGCTCTGATGGAACCTCGCTATTTTGTGTTAGCAAGGCTCAACAGATCACTCATGTATTTGGGCTGGATCGAGAGGTTCGAGCAAAACTTAAAGTGCGTTTTGAAGAATTTGTTGTTTGAATCTAGATTGAATATTTATACGCTTTGTGTTTCAAGGTATCAGAAATTTTTAGGATTAAAAAACAACCTTTTTGCCAAAATTTGAGTCAGCAAGGGTTCCAGCAGAGTACCAACAATGTATTTTATAAAACAACAAATTGCTTTTTTTGTTGGCTAGACCTTTCATAAAGTGATCATTACTACAACTGCTGTCAAAAAATTATTTTTTTTTTAGTCTCTTTTGTCATGTGCATAATCTTCATGTTTGCAAATGGGGATATCAATGTTTAAAGAATTCCAAGCTTATTTATTTGTAGCTATTTGTAAAAATCACTCTTGAAGAAAAAGAGGTTTTGGCCAGACTGTTTTCTTTTATTTGGATTTTGGAGTAACTTCTAGTTAATGATGACTATTTCACTCTTTTGGTTGAAGCCATGTTTTTGTTACTGTTCTGAAATACATACTTTTTTGACTCTCTGTTTGTGAGTAGTAAATATGTTGATATGATGAGCATATTGATGGCTGAATGCAAGAAATGATGGTATCCATGTTTTGTAGAAATGGAGTAATTGAATATGGATGGTGAGATTTTAAGCCATTCTTTTACCTTTGTAAATATCTTAGCTGTAGCTTACTTCGATATTGAGATATTAATGTTTCTTTTTTGACTATGTTATAGAGATTTCAAAATTTCAAACTAATTTTTCTTGAAATTGTGTGAAGTGGATAAAGTCACTTCTTGCACTCAGCCGTCGATATGGTTGATCTTGTGAAATGTATTTTACCCAATACTTCAAGTGCAATAAGTGGTGCTGTGCAGATTTTTTGTCCCTTTGAAATACTCTACCGCATTCTTTGAGTCAAGCAGGTATTATCTGCCATTTTATAAATTTTTTTTTTTTCCCCTTGTTCAGATAAGAGCAAGTGTGTTGGTTATTTGTAGATCTAGGTGTTGTCGTAAATGTTGTGACTGATATTAAATGGGCAAAGTTATTGTTTTGAGTAAATGAAAGAGGCATCCTAATTTCATGTCTTATGCAAACCCAGAAAATGGGGATTTCTTTTCATGTTTGAAAATTTGTTGGCACATTAACACGGTAAAACTAGAATTGGCTTTGTGTAAGGAATGCTGTGTTGGGTCAGGTTGGTTTTGGCTTAATGCTTAGGTCTATATATTAATATTGAAGTATTGGCAAAATATAGTTTCTTTTTGCTTCAGTTTCTTTTTGCATCTTTGTCTCAAAGTCTGTTTGTTGAATATCATAAATTACTGTCTTGTGTTTTTTTCTTCTTTTTGATGTGAAAAATGTGATTTAGGTATACGGATTGTCTCAAAGAAGAGTAAGTTTTCTTTACCCTGCTTCCCCTCACCGGTCTAAAGTCTTCGACAGCTTTGTGTCCTGAGCTCAGCCAGTCTGTGAAATGTATCAGTAATGGCTTTCCTTGTGTTTGTAAGAGTCTTGGTCTGGTTTCATCCTAATGATGTCTGTAAAATGTGTCTGTTGCTTGTATCTTCCACCCTCTTTTGTTACTAAACAGTTAGAGCATGCCGTTCTAGTTTGACCTGCTCTTTCTACTTTTGTTGAGTGGTGGGTGGTCTGGGGATGCTCTGGTGTTGTTTCCTCCCTCTTTCCCACCAAACATTCACCATCCTTATCACTCCTTTTTTTCTGTTTTTATTTTACTATACTTTATAGTAACCCCTCTAATCTTCAGCACCTATATGACATAATTGTCTTGCAAATCCTGCAAACCTCTTACTAAATTAAACTTTAAAAAAAAACAAAAAAACCTATGTTGAATGTCTTCTAAATTTATTTTGTCGTAATCTGTTTCTGGCAAGATGTGATCTCTGTGCACTGTAACTTGTCAGTGTGGGTGGTTCTCTGGTGTGGTTTGCTCCTTCTTTACTTTCAAACATCTATCGTCCTCATCTCTCCTCCTCCTTTTTTTTTTTTTGTGTATGTCACTCTTTTCATCTATTCTTCAGCACTCATATGACCTTATTGCACTGCAAGTGCTGTAAAAAGACTGCTACTAAAATTAAAAACAATTCATCAGCAGCGACAATGAGTCACCTGTAATTGCTGACTGTGTCTTAAGTCCCAGACCCAGAAACACTCGTGCTCAAAGGTCGTTTTTTCTTTATTGAGTTTTTATGTCTGTTTCATAGTGAGATTCTTGGGTTGCAGTGTGGGGTGCTTCATTGCTGATGGTACTGTAGCTGCTTTGCTTTAGCTTTGATATTTTTTTCCGTATTTTAAAATGTCAGAGGGCAATGTATTGCCAGTCTTTTGCTGTGCTCTCATTCTCACGCAGTGGACTGCAATGTTTTGTGGATTTAACTCTGTTTCTTGGAGTGCTCTGACTATGAGGCTCTTTCACATTTTTTTGTATTTTCCTGAAAGTTTCATATACCTGCAGCTGAATCATCTACAGTTCATACTTTCATTACTCATCTATTTTTTACTTTCACATTCCTTTTTAACACACCACTTGTGTCATCATATTTACTTTTATGACCATACTTCTCACGTCTCACCTAATTGGGAAAGAATTATACCCCCCCAGGGGCGGTGCTACTTACTGAAGTGTGTTTAGGCCATTTCTAACTGGGGGACATTAACCATGTTCTTATGCACAGTGGAATTGTAATTGTAAATCGGCCTATTCATCAATGTCATGCTCATAACTGTGCCTGAACTGCAACAGGGAAGTGCTGCTTTTTCTTTCCTAATCCTTACTATCGTCATTTTCCCTTTACTTCTTTTGTTTGTTTGTCACACTTTTGTGACCCACTATTTCCGGGGTGCCTTGATAGTGGAAGCAGACTTTGTGCTGTTGAAGCTAGAGAGGTGAGCACAGTAAGCCTGATTCCCTATAAGGACTTCTCTGTTTACATTCACCCATTGGCGCTCATATGACCTTATGCAGTTGCGAGCACCGTAAAACCTCTACTAAAACAAAAAAAAATTAAACTAACAAACAAAAGAAATATAAATCTCGTATTCTTTTTAGCAATCCTTTAAACCCTTAAGAAAATAGTAATCCCTCCACATGATAGCTTTTCTTCATTTTTCAATTTTCTGCACTTTTAAGTTTTCTATTTTTTGGTATATCATGGTCTCATCATACCGTACCATTGGCTTGTGTGAGATTTATCTGTATTGATTTTTGGTAAAGTATAGCTGCCTTTCCTGGTTAACTAAAACTGAAGGCCACTGACCAGGCTTTCATGTCAAAATACAAGGTTAAAGAGAGGAGAGATTGGACAAAAGTAAGATGACTACTGAAAACAAGAGAAATGGAAGATTGGTAACACAAGTTAGCCTTGAGACAAGAGCCTGGCTAATGGCCTTTTGTGCAAGACTACAACACACGTTAAATTGCAAAATGGTGGTAAAAGTCGAGTCTTGCATCCAGCCATCGGTTTGTTTAGGTTCATATCTCTTGCCCTGCACATTTTATGGCTATGCAAGCCTACTTACGTGTTTATGGTCGTCAGTTTTAGTGTCTCGTTTCAAGGGCAGAAGCTTGCCACCAGTGCTGTGATTCAATGAGTAAGTATGCCGCTACTTTTGAAACGTTTTTTTTTTGTAAGTGGTGTAAGAGCGTGTCTCCGTGTGCATGTGTGCATTGTATGTGTGTGCTTGTTTTTTGAGTGGGCTTTTTGGGTTGTTGTTTTTTTCTGGGGATCGGGGGAGGGGTATTAAGGATTCTTTTATGTCATGTATAGTAGGCCCTTTTGAGGAAATACTTTTTCTGTCAAAAGCTGTTTTAAACAGACTTGAATGATGCACCCGGAATTCAATGCTTCTTCACGGACCCCAGCAAAGATTGCACCCACGTGTCATGTTATTTTCAGTTGTACATGAATAAAACTTCCATGTTTTGCCAAGATTGGCAGCTAATCTGAGTTCTTTCACATTTTCTGCATTGTTATATATATATATATATTGGCCCGCGCATGACCAAACTTTGTGGATAGCACTATTATACAAATACCCTACTTGCAAGCTCTCATTTACAGTATTATGGTTCTGGGAACAGTTTATTTAATAGTCAAAGGGCTACAGTAGCATCAAATACACCACACATGAAGTGCTCACAAAAGAATGTATAATCTCCACTGGACTATAAGTGTTGAGACCATTTTATGTTCGTTCACGAGGGTCCAATAACCTAATATCTACTACCATCTTGTGTCATTGCCTTATGATGACCCTGTAGGCCTTCCAATAATCGTTTTGTTTCGCGCGATGTAGTGCATTTTGAAATTTGTATAATTTGTTTCTTGGTTACTTTACTCAACCCCAGTACAGGCATCTGTGGTGCAGTAGTTAGTAGGTGCTTCGCCATTGCACACGGAAGATTCTAGTTTGATTCCCATGTAGGTAAAATTTGTATCGAGTGTCTCGGTCTTTCTAGCTCTACTTGGACGTTGTACCAGTACTCCCCTCAGTCCGGATTGGCTCCGACAGGCGGGATGAAGCTTCCCTTCTAAATTACCTATTTCTATCTTGTGTCGATGGGGGTAAAAAGAAACCCATCTGCATTTTAAAAATGTAACCCACTGCGGTATTGAGACACCCCATTATACTAAGCTTTAATTATAGTTCTGTAGTTTGGATACTGTATTCTGATAATAATAGTGAACCAGTTACTTGCGCTGGAGTGGTTGGAAGGCGTGGTACTTCTGTACTGTAGTTGTTAGGTCTTGCCGTAATTTCTCCTCTTATTACACGACTGGGTACGTATAGTGGCTAGGAGAAAGAACCCTTTCAAGCAAGTGTTTCTGCCCTAACTGACAATCTAAGGGGGCAGGGCCACACTCGGGTCATGGCTCCCAAAGTGTTCTTCTGGTTTTCATTTTGTTTGCTTTTTTGTTTCCTTGGCACTGACCGAGGATCGAACCCTCGAGATTTGGGGTATCTCTGGATCTTCAACCCGCAAATGTTCGTGTAATGCCACGGAGCAAGTAAATGCGACAATTAGTACATCGGACCTTTGACTCAAAAGTCAACCCATTTCGCTGGTCACTCATAAGATGATCTTCTGATATACTAGACGGGACTCAACATGCACGCAATCAAGTACAAATCAGCTTAAGATCGGTCTATTTTTAGTCTTACTCTTCTCTTTTCCTCGTCAGACTGGCTCGCATGACTTGAAATGCCGGCAGTACACGAAAAAAAACCGCTACCTGTCTACGATTCAAAATACAATCGAGCCTACTCAAACGGCCATCCGTATCTATAGACAATCGCTTGTACAAATGACCACCTTCCAGGGGGGGGGGGGGGTTAAACGTTATAATGGCACAGTATAAGGCGGCCACGTGTATTCTTATCCCCAACTGGTAATGTGGCTCATCTAAATCGGTAAATCGGGGTGTGTGGTGTAGCGGTTAAGTGCTTTGCTTTCGCACGCAGGAGCCCCGAGTTCGACTCCCTAGTCGGGAGAAATTTTGTTTTATAGAATGTGTCGGTCTTTGAGCTGAGATATTATATCCTTCTCAGCCCGGGATAGCCCCTGACTTGCAAAGTTGGAAGCCCGCCTGTAAATGATCTAAGTTACCAAAACACAACAAAACGCCCACATTTATTTACATCAGATAATGACCTTGTTGCACCCAGATCGATGATCTAGCTAAAAAACAAACAATAACTGAAAAGACTTCAATTAAACAGATCTCAAAGTGTAGTTGACGTCACTTGAACAGCGGGCAATTAGCCTTTGTGTTCTTGTAGTTTTGTCCCGAGACACGAAGGAAAGCTTACTCTTTTAGCAGTGGCCTGTTACTTGTGCTCCTTTTCAGTGACAAGGGCGCCACTGGTGGGTCCTTCTTCTTTACTTTCCCACTGTCGTTTCTGTCTGTCTAGAGTGGTTGGCGGGTGCTCTGGTGTAGTTTGCTTCTTCTTTCCAAAGAAACATCTATCGTCCTTATCTCCCCTTCTTTTTTATGTTTGTTACTCTCTAATCTTCTGGCGCTCATATGACCTTAAGCAGACTTTACGAGCGCCGTAAAACCTCTACTAAAACTAAACTTACTTTTTCTCAGCCTTAAGTGGCCATTATTGTGTCGATGTGCTTCTCTTTACTCTGACTCTGACTCAGAAACTTCTAAATTAGTAAATGACCTGATTACACCTAGCACTACTACTACTAGCAGTATGCCGATGATTAAGATTAAAAACAAACAAGGACAACTTGTTGGTAGGATTGACGTCACTTGAGCAGCTCGATTAGCCCTTGTGTTTTTAAAGTTTTGTGTGGGTAGTTGGAAGGCGCCACTGGTAGGTCCTACTTTTTTACTATCCCTCTGTTGTTTCTGTCCGTCCGTCCGTCTTACTTTTTCTCCGCACTAAGTGAGCATTAAACAAAAAAACAAACCTTAGTATCTTCTTTGTACATGTACGGGTCTTTTCCTTCCAAAATGTGACCTGTGTTCCATCTCGCTGTATTTAACTGTAAACTGCAATCTCTTTATAATTTAACAACGATGTTTGAAACGTTTGGATACTTTAATGAGGTTCGAGGAAGCTCAGTACAGCCGAACATGATGGTAGTGATAGGTTGCGCAATACAGCAAAGCATGGTACCGGGGTAGTGATAGTTGATAGATTATACAGCAGGGATAGATGACGATGGTGATGATGGCGATTATGATGATGATGTGTAAGGGCCTGCGTATGTGTGTGTTTTTGTTTGTGTGGATGTGTGTTTATATATAAATATATAT